AGCCTGGGGCAGAGTTGCTGGGGAAAGAGCTGCACTTGAATTTCCAACTATTCCAAGTCTTGATCCACAATTAGGGAAGGAGGCTACCTCTCTACTCCCTAGTCCCACAAGGAACACAGAATTGAATGACCTCAGAATACTCGCTACTTGTTATGGTTTGAGAACCAGAATTTCTTGATAGTACTGAGGAAATATTAATATACAAATGAAGGCTCAGAGGGGTTGACTCAATTTACGAAGTTCACATGGGAAGGAGGCAGTACAGTTGTACTTCAGATTCAGGTCTGGTAGAAATGAAGCTGTTTTTGCCCCTTGCCCAACATACTGGCATAGGACAAGTTCCTGAGGCTGCTAAGATGAACAGGACATAGTCCTTATCCCTAGGAGCTCAGATAGGAACAAAGATTTGGGTGTCTCAGGGAGTTGTTATTCCATTAGAGATTCATCTTACCTGAAGCATGCTCTTTCATTGAGAGAGCCTCCTTATACCTCAATATTTCCATTTATGAAATGAGGAATCATACCTGCCATCAACTAGAATGCTCCTCTTAATATGCTCAAGGATTTACAAAATATTCTAGGGCTCTTGGCACTATGTCAATACTGAGTGCTACTCCTGTTATTAATGGGTAATAGGTACCACTACATAGATATTTAAGTCTGATGCTCTGTGCATTAGTAAAATGACTTCATTTGGTAAGTAAGGTGACCTCATATCACCTACCACAGCACAAACTGATGGGGGATGGGGTATCCGGATGTGGAAATATTTTGAAGTCCTGATTCCAGCTTGAGTTTTGCTAATAAGGAAAATGCCCAATAAAGAACAAGAAAAAATGGAAAGAGAGTAGAGGAAAATCTTAGTACCAAAACACAGGGTCAGGAGAAACACATGGGTAATGATCACTGAGTGAAAGAAATGTCCAAACCATTAGCCATATTGTTTTTGGTTTCCTGATATGAATTCAGAGCTATACAGCTGTTCAACAGCTGCCCAGTTCTATCTCAAGGCAGGTAAAACTGCCCCTGGACAGAGTGTGCATTGAAACAAATCAACAAACTCCACGGCTGCCTCCCACGGGAGACTGTAGACGTCAGAGGGGCTCTGGCTAGCGTGCCACAGGAGGGCTATGCAGAAGGAGAGTCTGGTCAAGACTCTGGAAAGCCCTGTGGAGTCTATGGGGAACAATAAGAATGCAGAATATAAATGTAGGCTGAAGGCTGATGGGCCCGTTAGGAATTAGGGCAGCCTTTGAAAGGAATCTGTGGAGATGATGCAAAACACCAAGCATGTGACCCAAATCGTGGCAGGGCATATTGGAGGGAGAGGGGAATGAGAATGAGACATTTTCTAATCTGATTAGTCTGAAGTTTCTCCTGAGTGTCGAGAAGGGTCACTGCACAATTAGAGGCAAAGTTAGACTGAACATGGTTGGCTTACTGGCTCAGAGGGATGACCTCCTTGAAGCAAAGCTGGGCTCAGAGGCAGATGTGTTCTGAGACTGGGAGGACCTCGAAGTGAGTTGTGGAATAGTCTCCCTGCCTTTAATGTCAAATTGTAAAGGCAAAGACAAAACAGTCTGCTGAGAGAATGAGAGGATGATGACTTGGTGGCCCCAGTATTGGATAAGAAACATGTAGGTCCTCCAGAGGTCAGGCTCCCACATTCTGGACTTCCCAGGATAACTCATCCTTGAGACCATCAAGAGAAAAATCTAATAAACATCCACAGTTGCCTGACTACAAAATAGCTTGAAATGTGAAAGGCATTCATATCCAAATGTTAAAAACAAGACTTCCTCTATGTAAAAGTACATAGGTTTCTTCCAGTTCATTTCTAAGTCAGAGTGTGTGGTCTATGGATTCCAACTGAAACTACTCTCCTAGTTCCCAATCAATACTTAGACCCAGGGGCAGTACTTTATGTATGTTATCTCAATTCATACTCAGAACCACTGGGAAATAGGTATTGTTATCTCATTCTAGAGGTAAGGAATATGAGGTGCATGCAACAATACACTGTTTGCTTATAGGTAGTAAATCAAACAGGTTAGAAGTAGGTCTGCATCTGAATAGATCAAACATCAGTCACAAATTTTCATTACAAGGTGAGGGCCAAAAAGAGAAACATAGTGTTGTGAGATTCCTTAGGCCAGTGATTCTCAGCCTTTTGGCCCTTTAAATACAGTTCCTCATGTTGTGACCCAACCATAAAATTATTTTCGTTGCTACTCCATAACTGTAATGTTGCTACTGTGATGAATTATCATAGAAATATCTGATGTGCAGGATGGTCTTAGGCGACCCCTGTGAAAGGGTCGTTCGACCGACAAAGGGGTCGCGACCCACAGGTTGAGAACCGCTGCCTTAGGAGGAGATAATCTCTGTCAGCCAAGCGATCTGGGAGGGCTTCATGGATGTGGTACTACTTGAAAAGAGTTTTAAAGGAAAAGCAAGCTTTCAGCAAGTGAAAAAAAAATGGAAAGGCAGGAGGTATCCATGTGAAATGCTAACTGGCCCATTTGGCTTGACCAGTGGAAATGGGAAGGGGAGTTTTGGGAATGTGTTAACTGTGAAGAACCCTGACTCCTAGGTCTGCTTACCTCATCTCAGGTCCTTTACACCAGGATGACCTAGTTATTCTTCACCCTGCTGCTAGCAAGTATAAGCAAATAGAGCAGATGTACAAAACAACCCCATATCAATCTAATGCACACCCACACCCAAGTGGATTGGGCCTTTTACTTTATTTTTAATCCTCACCCCAAAATATGTTTCTTTCATTGATTTTAGAGAGAATAAGAGAGGGGGTGGTGGGAGGCATCAATATGAGAAAGAAACATCGATCTGTTGCCTTCCATATGAATCCTGACCAGGGATCAAACTGCATTGTGGGCATGTGCCTTGACAGGTAATCAAACCTGCCACCTTTCAGTGTATGAGATGATGCCCCAACACCGGTCAGGACTGGCCCTCTTCTTGATCCTCCTCCTGATACCTTGGATCCTAGTTCTCCCACATGGGATTAAGTTTTATCTGTTCTTTCCATTTCTCCTTTTGTCTCAGATGAGGACTCCCTACTCCGGACCCTGCTTGAGAACAATGCTCCAAATGACAACCCTAAGCTGCATGATGGAGAAAAAGAGTTCAAAGCTAAGGACTTTGGTCTTTCTTTGAGATGGTACAGAAGGTTTGTGAGTAGAAGAATTGCATTATGATATTTTTACGCTAAGGTACTTAGCTGCTGTATGTAAAGATAAATTTTAAAATTAAGATCAACCAAAGGACTTATATGCAAGCATATAAGCCTAACCAATGGACACAGACAACAGGGGCGGGCGGGGGGGAGGTGGGTGAGGGCATCAGCAGGGGGAGGGGATGGGGGTAACATGGGGATAAGGACACATATGTAATAACTTAATCAATAAAAATTAAAAAATAAAATTAAGAGATTAGTGGAAGAAAGAACAATGTGGAAACCCTGAAAAAGTCAAGAAGAAATGTGGGTCCGAATAAGAGTGAAAATAGTGGGAATGGAGATGAGAGGGTGAGAAGCAGCAGGAAGGAGATAGAACTGTCAATATATTCTAATCTACTGGCTATTTAGACAATAATTCAAAATGGTTAGAAGTAGGGGGTATGCATTTGAAAGGTCCAGGAGTTAAGTCACAGATCTTATTCTAGACCAGTGATGGCAAACCTATGACACGCGTGTCAGAGGTGACACACGAACTCATTTTTTTGGTTGATTTTTCTTTGTTAAATGGCATTTAAATATATAAAATAAATATCAAAAATATAAGTGTTTTACTATGGTTGCAAATATTAAAAAATTTCTATATGTGACACAGCACCAGAGTTAAGTTAGGGTTTTTCAAAATGTGGACACGCCGAGCTCAAAAGGTTCGCCATCCCTGCTCTAGACTATGTTACTCTGTGCAAAATCATCTCTCTAAACCTCAGCATCTTCATGTAATAGAGCAGGATAATAGTTCTGATCTCACCAAATTGTTTTCGCAAAGGAAATGAGATAATACATTCAAAGCAATGATAGCAATACCTAGCATGCAACCAAAATGTCAGTGTTATCAAGATAAGTACATCAGAGGAGGGGCTAGAGTCAAGCCATAGGAAGCATAAAAGATGACCAGAGTCTAGGTGGTTTCAAGGTGGTGCCAGGAAGTCAAAAGTTAGATTCTACAGGATAAATGATTTGTTTTATAAAGCAGTTCACCATGCTTTTCTTTTGTGACATTAGAGTCTCTATGCTTTACATCTGGTGTTCTAGCAAGATAGAGCCCTGTGCTAATAACACCATGTCCTCTTATGGCATGTCCTTACCCATCAAGAACTACTGCTTTGAAAAATATGCCCTGAATTTTACATCTAATACCCTCATAACCAATGAAGTTGTGCATTTTCATTTTGCCCCACAACCTATGTATATGTGAGTGTGTCTTAATGGTAAGAAGATAAAATAATCCTATATAATAAAAGCCCAGCGACCGAATGGCGGAACAACCAGAACAACCAGTCGACCAGTCGCTATGATGTGCACTGACCACCGGGGGCAATGCAGGAGCTGCCCCCTGATGGTCAGTGCACTCCCACAGTGGGAGCACCTCTCAGTTGACCGGGATGGGCGGTGCTCCCACAGTGGGAGCAGCTGCTCAGAGGGCAGGTCCACAGCCACTCAGCTGACCTGCTGACCGGGATGAGCAGCTACTCCTGCTGCGGGCTGATCCCCGCAGGCCACTCCCCGCACCAGTGCATGAATCCCGTGCACCAGGCCTTTAGTAATTCATAATAGGCTCTCTAACATTTAAATCATAATTAACTTTTCCTTTTGTAGTAGTTAAAATGGAGGTGTGTCATCAATTACATAATCAAAATAGTCAAGGGTAAATCAAAGGTAATGAAAGGTAAATGGAAAACCAGGAATAGTCCCCTAAAGAAAAGCATGAAGGATAATTCCCATGAAGGATACAGATCTTACTTACTTGGACACTAAGGAGTGTATAAGTTCATTACTCAAAGGCAACCTGGCGGACTTGCACAGCGTTTCGATGAATTTGCTGGGCAATTTCGTTTTTCTAGATTAAAACAAAATAAATGAATAAGGGGGAGAGATCAACCAAGAGACTTATATGCAAGCATATAGGCCTAACCAATGGACACAGACAACAGGAGGGTGAGGGCATGAGTGTGTGTGTGGGAGGGTGGGGGGTAGGCGGTAACATGGGGATAAGGACAGATATGTAATAACTTAATAAAAAATTTTTAAAAATGAGCTTATATATACTTTGGGTCTTTCAAGTAACAATTGCATGCTATAGGGGAAAAAATACATTGTATTCTAAAAATGTACAAATGGAAATAAGTATGAAAATTGATATTGGAATTCACAGTAAGGAAAAACAGTCATATTGTATTTCATCAACTTTTTCCATTTTAGAACTCATCAGATTCTGTCCTTACAAAGGTCTTTCCATCAAGGTTCAGATTCTTGATTGGTGATAGTAGCCTATTAAAGCTGCAGCCATGAGTGTTGCTCTAAGTAATCGATCTGCATTCTTGACCACCAGTCAAAAATGGTCCTGATATTTGAAAACATCTCTTAATTTGACAGGTATCTAGAGCCTCCAACACAAGTGGAG